CACACACACACACACACACACACACACACACACACACACACACACACACACACGAATGCTGGCTGGGGTATTCTGGGAGTTGAAGTCCGGACATCTTCAAGTTGCCAAGGTTGAGAAACACTGTGATAGACATTTGCAGTCCAGATATAGTGCAACTAATACATTGGTGGCACATATTCCATTAATATTAGTATTAACATTTATTAGGGTAATTGGCATTGTCATTTGAACTGGTCAGATAAGTAAAAAAATGCTGGGTTTGATTCTTTAACTTATGTAAACGGACACATTTTTGAAGACAGGGAAATTCAGTACATGCTATTTTAGGCTGTTTATATTATATAATATTAAATAAGTTTAGTTATTAGGTAGCAGTAAAGCCAAATGAATGTTCAGAATAGTGGTGGGTTGCAAATCCCGTTCCAACTGTACAGTTGGAACAGGGCCGGTAGCATCCTCATGGACGCACGCAGCGCATGCGCACATGCGTTCAAGCACCTCCACAACACTCCGTGATGCTCCAGCTGCTCCACGGAGCGTCGCATAGGCGCTTTACCCATCATGCGCCTGCGCGGAAGCGCAAAAGCTTTTAAACTCCGGTAAGGAGCTCGGGTGGGTCCTCCGGAACGGCATTCCGGTGCTCCGGGCTGTCTCCGTGCGTACCAGGGCGTACCGCCTGCAACCCACCACTGGTTCCGAAACATTTTAATTAATAAACACAGATACTACTATATTTTATTATTTTTCTTTTTATTTCTTTTATATTGTGTTTTTATGTTGTTAGCTGCCTTGAGTCGCCATGTGCGAATAGGCAGAAATATAAAATTTCTAAATAAAAAAAATACCACGTTTTGTATAAATCTAATATATTCACAAGTCCAGTGCTTTTCTTTTGTATCAGAGCTTGTTGTCAGATAAATGTTGAATTCTTTGATCCTTATCTTTAAAGGTTTTTTTCGTTGATGTTCGTTTACATACTGGTTTGCATAAGGCAAAACTTTGATAAATACCGTATTTTTCAGAGTATAAGACGTACCTTTTTCCCCTCAAAAAAGAGGCCGAAAATCTGGGTGTCTTATACACTGAATACACCGTTTTTTGCCTCCTGGAACCCCACCTCCTTCACCAAAATGGCCATGCAAAGCCTTTAGGAGGCTTTAAGAGAGCTCCTGGGGGCTGGGGAGGGCAGAAATGAGCGAAAAATTGAGTGTTTTTTGCTCAATTTTGCCTCCACCCCCCAGGAGCACTCTATAAGCCTCCTAAAGGCTATTCATGCCCTTTTTTGAAAAAAAAAACGGGCCAATTTTCGGGAGGTTTGCAGAGTGCAAAAACGTTTTTTTAAAAATTTGCCTCTTCAAAACCTTGGTGCGTCTTATACTCCGGAGCATCTTATACTCCGAAAAATACGGTATCTATCCTGCCCTTTTGAGAATGAAAGCTGGAACTTTCATTAGGTTTTGCAGGCATTGCCATTTTAAAGTACCAGCTGCTCCCACTATATCGCAGATATAGACTCAGGACATATTGAATCCCAAACTTTCACAGGTAGTCCTCGACTTAGAACAGTTCATTTAGTGACCATTTAAAGTTACAACAGCACTGAAAAAAAAGGGACTTATGGCCATTTTCCACATTTACGACCTTTGCAGCATCCTTAAGGTATGCACGATCAAAACTCAGCTGCTTGGCAACTGATTCATATAGAGCCGAGGTGGCGCAGTGGTTAGAGTGCAGTACTGCAGCCACTTCAGCTGAATGCTAAGCTGCAGTTCAGCGGTTCAAATCTCACCGGCTCAAGGTTGACTCAGCCTTCCATCCTTCCGAG